CCGTTATCATCACCATCGCCGTCGCACTCGTCCACAGAGAAGTACCCACGACATCGTCATCATCATTGTTGTTCCAACACACCAACGGCCAATGGGCGTGGCCCCCGCAGTGCTCCGCTGGGATATACTGCACTGGTGAATCTCCACTCTGCGCTGCTGCCTCTGACTCCATTCGGTCGACCCTCGCGTGGGGGAGGGGCAGCCAGAGGAACATGAGGAACCGCAGGAGGAGCAGCAAGTAGAGCAGTGGGAAGGTATGGAAACGATCGCGATCGTGTTTGCATCCCTACACTGCCCTCCTCATCCCAACACTGCTGCTTAAGTACAAGAAGCTCAAATACTTTCCGTCTTGAAGGCCAGAATGCCTACCATACCTAGGTGCTTTCCGATACTGACACGGCCTGGCCTTCGGATGCACAGCAAATGCAGAATGAATGTTAAGAGTAGGCCCTGGAGGGTGCAGGAAGCCTGAAGAAAACACGGCGCAACGCCAACTCCGGATACAGGTTGTGCCAATCGTTCGCGAGGAAGGTCTTGTGGCAAAATCGAATACAAATTGAAAGCACAATGCTTGAATGCACGGATGGCGCCGGCAATACACAGACAGACAGACGGATGGACAGACAGACAGGCTGACAGGCAGACAGACAGAAGACAGGCAGGCAGACAGGCAGGCAGGCAGACAGGCACTCAACGCAGGCACACAAACAAGCACACACAAACAAACAAACAAAAAAAGAAACAAACAGACAAACAAGCACAGACAAACACACAAACACACACACACGCACACACACACACACTTCTCTCTCCGCGGCTCCTCGGGGTCGGGCCGGGCAGATTTCTCTTCGCCGAGGCCGCAGGCAGAGGAAGGATGGGGGAGAAACCGCGCCTGGACGGCTCCGCAGGCAGCCGGCAGGGCCACGGCCTCGGTGCTCCTTCCGCTCCGCAGCGGAGCCTCGTGCTGCCAGGCGGACTGCCAGCACGCCAGCGGGCACTCCGCGAGGCAGCTGGCAGCTGCGAGCAGGAGGCTAAGAGGAGAAGAGTCAAATACCAAGCGTACTTGCGTAGCGATTTGGGGGCTAAAAAAGTATTCCAGCATCCTTCCTGTGGCTTTGCGTTTCAGTGCGCACACAGCGGATCACTCAATCGCACGTCTGGCCGGGGATGTTTTCGTGCGATGTGCCCCCGGGCGTCGCGGTCGCCTCGTTCCCCTCCGCTGGGCCGAAGCGCAGCTCGCAAGAGACGGCAGAGAGCACCGCGGGGGAGCGATGCCCACCCGCGGGTCGCTGAGCCTCTGGCGGCGAGCCCACTGCGCCTGGCTGCGCCTGCCGGCCATCGCCTTCGCCCCACCCGTCGACAAGGGCATGCACCCAATGACAACGTACTAGGACAGGCTGTACGGGGTCACTCCATTGGTCGCGCATCCCGAGGGCCCCCCCCCCAACCCGCAGAGGAGTGAGAGCGGGGACAGAACAGCGGCCAGCAACAGTTCAGAGCGCAAGCCCGGACGCCGATTGCCCAAGGAGAGGAATAAAAAAGAGGAATAATATGATGATGATGATGATGAAGAAGAAGAAACATCAGAACACTACGAAGAAAAAACATAAGAGAATAAACCCACACCGTCGAACCAGAAGAAAAAACGGGGCACTCCTCTGGAGGCGAGTCCCAGCAGGCGCCACTGGCACCGAGCCTGGGGAGAGCACAACCACCAGGAGCGACCCGGCACTGTAGCCCCAGACGTTCTCGCCACACTCGAAGAGAATGGTTACACACGCACACACACACACGCACACGCACGCGCGCAAACACTTTTTGCGTCGGCGGCTGGCCAGAGGTCGACTGCTCCGGCGGAGTGGCGACAGGGGAGACGGCGTGCGCGCAAACGCACGCACATACACACGTACACAAAAGCACGTTTTCCTCCGACGCGCCAGCGGATCCAATCGGTGGGCAGTCACAATGGTGGGCAGTCACAATGGTGGGCTACGTGGCGCTGCTGAACGATACCCCCAAATATGCGCGCGTAGGTCGTAGACGCAAGCACACAGACGCAGACACCCGGACACACGTACACATGAACTCACGGACGGACACACGAAAACACTGACACACACACACACATACATACATACATACATACATATACACACACCACACACACGTGCACGCACACACAGACACATACGCACAAGGATAGACGCACGCCCCCTCACGCTGAAATCGCCCAGACGGCGCCAGAATCTGAACACATAGCGCCGCGAGCGGCACGAGTTCCCAGGATCACGCAGTCCGCAGAGCAGACGAGAACGGCTTGCAAAAGGGCTGGGCCATCCTGTTATCCTGGGTTTCGTTCGGGCTCTCTTCATCCTGGGGCCCCCTCCTGGGCCTGACGGGACCTGGTGGACGCGCCCGGGCCGCCCGCGAGGCGTCCTGGGGCCCTTCTGCTTGGGGCGGCCTGAGGCCGTCGTGGAGCCGTGCGGGGGGTGGGACGGTAGAGGGAAACGATGACAGCGGAGGCCAGTCCACAAGAAACCTTCCACAAGAAACACTTGTTTTTGCGACGCGCGCGCAGAGCGAGCGGTCAAGCGCCTCGGCGGCGCCGTGCCCAGCTCAGGCGCGTGAACCTAAGTAGGGGTGCCCCCCCCCAAAAAAAACATACAGCGTGCCCCCCCCCAGCCGCGCGTGCCCCAAAAAATATGCAGTAGGAGCTCGACCACAAGAAACCTTCCACAAAAAACCCAACCCTGAGACCCCAGGGCGTCCATTGATTTCTGGTGTGGGAGCGTCATGCTCTCCATCGTAAAACCATCGAAGCCAAGAAACCCAGGGCACCCTGGAGGCAAGCAGGGTGTTCCGCGTCATGGGTCTCCACAGTAATGGACACTCCCCCCTTTCCCTCAAATTCAAGGTTGGCACGCGCGGAGGAGACTGCGGTCGAAGTGCAACTCATCAGACACACCGCTAACTTTGAATACTGGGGGGGAGGGAGGGGCGTCGACCGATGAATGTGGCAGGAGTGTTCGCTAGTTTTGTTCCGAGACCTGGATCTGGGCCCAATCTTGGACCGTCTTGGGGGCATCTTGCACCGTCTCGGGGACATGCAAGGGGCGCCGTGTGCCTTCCAGGAAGCATCCAGGGCCTGTCTCGGAGCTGTCTTGAGCCGTAAGAGGGCGAGCGTGCTTTTGCTCAACTTTGACGTCTTGGGGGGGGGGGGGGGGCTTCCGTCAAGCATGTTGGGGCCCCTTGGGGGCCATTTAGGGGCCAGGCGGGTAATGGTCGAGGCCCCTTGGGCATCTAGCAGTCCTGCATAGATCGTCTTGCAAAGCATGCTGAAGACGGAGCAACCTGGTCGCACAATCGGAATCATCCCCTGGGATATTATATTTGTTAATATGATGATCGGGTCCTATGACCCTGCTTAGTGCAATGCGAATATACCACCTTCGGGGTGGTGGCAGACGGAATGACGGCAAGAGGCGACGATCGAAGCGTAGAGTTGCACGAGAACGCCAACGTGAAGACGAGTGGACAGTTCGCATCTGCGAAGTGCGAAGGCACATGACCGTGAGGAAGATAGACATGCGCGCACGGGATCGTGGGGAAACGACTCAGGATGAAACACCGGTTTCGGGGAGCTCCACATTCGCGGTATAGTACCGAGTGGACATGCGTGAACGCGAAAATCATGCTATAAACCCACAAGAGCGTCACGCCCAGCTATTCGCCAGCGTGGCAGCACGGGCCCATCGCATCTCTTCTTCGGAAGTCGTTCCGCAGATCGTCTTGACCGCCCGCTACGTATACCCATGCAGCCCATACTGTCAAAACTAGTGGTAAAGGACGTGGGGCGAGGACGCAAGACCCGTGGACGGCCAGGCTGCTCTGTTTGAGCGGCGCACGACACACGTCCCAAGGACGCAAGGGTACCCTAACGGACCCCCGTCCTTGGCGAATGGGCGTCGGGACCAAAAGCAGCACCGTGAATCGTTTTCAGCCTCTTCGCTCCGATCTGCTCGCGTTCCAGTCAACACGTGCATCCCGAATCCTCAATACCCGCCCTCTTCGTCTTCGATCGTACCCCCTTGGAAGTATATCTTCCTTACCTGGCATGTGTATCCAGCGCAACCACTAAACCAGGGGAAGAGGCGACAGATGGAAGGGGGAGGGAGAAGAATGGAACGCGAGCGAAATTAGCAGGAAGGGGGGGCTAAGAACAGAAAACACGTGGCAGAACAAGACGGGCAAATCGTGATCTGGCGGGTAGACCCAAATGGCCGGGTCGGGAAGGCGGGCCCACGCGGCCAGGTCGAGCAGGCGGGCTGCTGAAGCGTGATTCCTGCATGCATCGCGAGGAAGTCTCGAGCGATAGCGCAATTCCCAAGTAAATCGTGAGAAACGGCCAGGACGAGAGCGTGATTCCTGAGTGTCGAGGGCGCGGCGTCTGAATACACTAAATTGCGAGGCAGTCCCACATGAGAGCGCAATTCCTCCATACTTTGCAAGGAAGTCCTGCGCGAGAGCGCGACTTCGGAATAAATTGCGAGGTCAGGGCGCGAGCCCCGGGAGGAACACTTCCATTGAAAAACATAATGGGCACCCGGGGGATCAACGATTATTGGTGGATGAAAAATAAGATGCCAAAAACTGTCATTTTAAGACTGCTCACTCTTGTCTGCTCACGTGCTATTTCACACGTGCGTCCCAAACCCTCGATACCCACTCTCTTTCCTCGACGTGCCTCCCTTGGGGGTATCTCTTCCGTACCTGCCGCGTATAGTTGGCGCAGCCCCTGAACCACCTGAACACCACAGCGAATAACACTTGGATATTATCGCGGGCCCTGCGAATATCCATCGGAAGCGATCGCTTCGCTTACAAGGGGCGTCTCAAGCATCCAAACGGCTCCAATAGAGACCCTCGAAAGACTTCTAAAAACTCCAAGTCGACCCCAAGTGCCCTTGGAGAGCGCCCCAAGAGCGCGACAGGGGGCTTTATTTCAGGGCTCCCCTTTTTGTTCCTGTCGGCACGATGACACGCATGCCAATCGCCAGTTGACGCGTCAAGCTCTTAAAATGCAGAGGGGGACGGGGAGGGCCCCATAAAGAGCGCTTATACAGAAGCGAAGTAACCTCCGATGGAGTCGGCACGCCAAACACGTGCAAAACTAAGAGAACCGACCTCCGATGGAGTCGGCGCACCAAACACGTGCAACGCTGGCAAGCATGGTGCAAACGGCGGCCGCAGACGAAGCCGACAAACCAAATGCCAACCTGACGAATTCAATGCATGTGTTCCTAGCTTGGGCACCATGGAAAGATATGGTCAAACGTGCCACAGCCAAAGTGGTGCTCCAGCTGACGGAGCTGGATCGTCACCTGGAGACACAAGGTCTGGCGCTACGCAGCCAGGCTTGCTGACGTGCCCCAGGACAGGTGGACGATCGAAGCAGCTAGCAGGGAGGCGGCGGAGTGTTCGAGGGCGAAACGCCGCTGGCAGCACGGGCCCAAAAAACGTCTCCGATCGGACGGCACGCAAGACACGTGCTCATCTTGGCACCTCTTTTGGGCTGCATTCACCCTTGCCCATACATGTCCAACCCTATCCATGCGTTCCTCCTGCGCTCTTGCTCCCAATCGATTGACGACTCATCCGACGCGTTCATCCTGCGCTCTTGCTCCCAATCGATTGACGACTCATCCGGCTCGCTGTCTGCCTCGTCGTTGTACACCCTCTCCTTCTCCTGCTCCATCATCTCGTTGAACTTGTCGCAATCACAAATGAATCGCTTCAACCATTCGCTGACGCAGCATGATCGCGCCAAGCTCAAGGCATCGATGAAGTCAAAGGCGTTGCTCAGCGGGCCGCCGATCATGAGGTCGTGCGTCCTCCTCGCCAGCGCCTGGTCGTCAAGCAGCTTCTGAATCCGAGCTGAGGTGCGTTCGGAGTAGTGGTGACTTCGTTCAACCTTGAAGCCTTCGATGCGAATGAGCACATGCTGCGCCAAAGCCTTCCCTGACTCGCCCCTGTTCAGCTTCGGCGAGCACACGGAGAATAACTCGCAAGCGAGCTCGACCTTCCACTCTTCGTGAAGGGACTTCGGTGAAACACCTCGCAACAATTCATCGAAGATGTGTTCCGCAACCCCTGTGAATGCCATGCTGCGCATATACACCCAATAATAGCCGATGAACCTCATGCACTTAAGCACCTGATCCTTGTCCTCATCCGTGCTGCTGGATGTGAACAACTCGTCAAATTTGGATTGGCACCGGTGCAAGAGCTCCCGGTGCAAGGTTCTCTTCTGCTTCGCGCGCCTATCCTGCTCGTCCACTACACTGACGAGGTACGCTAACGCCTCCAAAGGGTCCAATCCCCTCGTAGTCTCGATGGTCTCGATGTGCATAAACCCCTCGTCGTTGTCTGGCTCATCTGGCATTATGTAGTTAGAAGATCGGATCCTGCCGAAGATCACCGACTCTGGCATTATGTAGTTAGAAGATAGGATCCTGTCGAAGATCACCGACACGCAGTCGTTAGTCCACTTTTTGTTTTGAATGTCAAGCGCCAACAAGTAGTAGATGTTCCCGTAGTTGTCCTTCCTGTAGTTGTCGATCACATTGTCGATGATTTGATGCACGTCCATCACCACCTCCATCACAGGTGATTGCCGCAAGCTGCGATCCATTAGTGCTGATCAGGAGAAGGGGCTCGGGAGCGAACAAGCCCGGCTTGAGCCCGGCGGTCAAGAGAATTGCAAGTTGCAGTTCTTGAGCCAAAACGGCTACGGATTGAGGGCTCCCCTTTCTTGATGGACGGCCTTCTGGACTGCTCCACGAGGGGTCCCGAGCCCTTCGCGAGGGCCCCAAGAGGCCCTCAAAGACTCCCCTAAGGGCCCCAAAAGAGCTCCAAGATCGCTCCAATAGGCTCACATAAATCTAAGTTCCACATTGCGGGTCTAGTTGAATCACCATAAGCTTCTCCACTTCCCGGCTTCCAGCAGCTCGCCTGGCCTCAGTTTCTGGATAGGCTGGTGGGGATACTTTTTTCCCCATATCCTAAGATGGGGTTCTTGTTATTACTTGGACGCCTCCTACTCCCTCTCCCTCCTCCTCTTTCCTCCTCCCCTCCTCCTCTTTCCTCATACTCAGACCTACTCATACTCAGACTTACTCATACTCAGACTTACTCATACTCAGACCTACTCATACTCAGACTTACTCAGACTCAGACATACTCATACACAGACTTACTCATACACAGACTTACTCACACCCAGACGTACTCATACACAGACTTACTCATACCCAGACTTACTCATACACAGTATTACTCATATTCAGACTTACTCATACCCAGACGTACACATACACAGACTTTCTCATACACAGACCTACTCATACCCAGACTTACTCATACACAGACTTACTCATACACAGACTTACTCATACTCAGGCATACTCATACTCAGATCTTGGAGGATGCCTCAAGCGGGGCGCTGGTTTCAGTACCCCTAAGGGGAGCCGCCAGGGGTGTTTGCACGGGCTCGTTCGCGGCCATTTTGTGGGGATGTCTCAGGCGGTTTGTTTGTTTCTGGGCTCAACATCACTCGCTTGGAAAGCAGATTGTGAGGATGTCTCAGGCGGGGCGCTGGTTTCAGCACCCCTAAGGGCGGCCGCCAGGGGTGTTTGCACGGGCTCGTTCGCGGCCATTTTGTGGGGATGTCTCAGGCGGTTTGCTTGTTTCTGGGCTCAACATCCTTCGCTTGGAGAACAGATTGTGAGGATGTCTCAGGCGGGGCGCTGGTTTCAGCACCCCTAAGGGGAGCCGCCAGGGGTGGTTGCACGGGCTCGTTTCGCCGGGCCATTTTGCGGGATTTGTCTCAAGCGGTGTTGCTTGTTATCTGGGCTCAACTCTGCATCTCGAAGAGCAGAATTGTGAGGATGTCTCAGGCGGGGCGCTGGTTCCAGCACCCCTAAGGGGAGCCGCCAGGGGTGGTTGCACGGGCTCGTTCGCGGCCATTTTTGTGGGATGTCTCAGGCGGTTTGCTTGTTTCCGGGCCCAACATCATTCGCTTGGAGAGCAGATTGTGAGGATGTCTCAGGCGGGGCGCTGGTTTCAGCACCCCTAAGGGGAGCCGCCAGGGGTGGTTGCACGGGCTCGTTCGCGGCCATTATGCGGGGATGTCTCAGGCGGTTTGCTTGTTTCTGGGCTCAACATCACTCGCTTGGAGAACAGATTGTGAGGATGTCTCAGGAGGGGCGCTGGTTTCAGCACCCCTAAGGGGGGCCGCCATGGGTGTTTGCACGGGCTCGTTCGCGGCCATTTTGTGGGGATGTCTCAAGCGGTTCGCCTGTTTCTGGGCTCAACATCCTTCGCTTGGAGAGCAGATTGTGACGATGTCTCAGGCGGGGCGCTGGTTTCAGCACCCCTAAGGGGAGCCGCCAGGGGTGTTTGCACGGGCTCGTTCGCGGCCATTTTGTGGGATGTCTCAGGCGGTTTGCTTGTTTCTGGGCTCAACATCCTTCGCTTGGAGAGCAGATGGTGAGGATGTCTCAGGCGGGGCGCTGGTTTCAGCACCCCTAAGGGGAGCCGCCAGGGGTGGTTGCACGGGCTCGTTCGCGGCCATTTTGTGGGGATGTCTCAGGCGGTTCGCCTGTTTCCGGGGTCAACATCCTTCGCTTGGAGAGCAGATTGTGAGGATGTCTCAGGCGGGGCGCTGGTTTCAGCACCCCTAAGGGGGGCCGCCAGGGGTGGTTGCACGGGCTCGTTCGCGGCCATTTTGCGGGGATGTCTCAAGCGGTTTGCTTGTTTCTGGGCTCAACATCCTTCGCTTGGAGAGCAGATTGTGACGATGTCTCAAGCAGGGCGCTGGTTTCAGCACCCCTATGGGGAGCCGCCAGGGGTGGTTGCACGGGCACGTTCGCGACCATATTGTAGGGATGTCTCAGGCGGTTCGCTTGTTTCTGGGCTCAACAGGGAGGGAAATGACAGGAACGAGGATGAGGAGGAGGAACAGGAGGAGGAGGAGGAGGCGGGGGATCGTGAGGAAGGGCATGGGGGTGCGGAGGGGGAGGGGGAGCAGGAGGATGAGGAGGAGGAGCAGGAGCAGGAGAAGGGAGGGGGCGGAGGAACAGGAGAAGGAGGAGGAGGAGGAGGAGGAGGAGGGCGCTTTGCTCGAAGGTCCTTGACGCGAGCAGAACGTTTGTTCCGAAGTCCAGGACATATATATATATATATATATATATATGTGTATATGAATGTATATATATACATATATATATATATATACATATATATATATGTGTATTCATAGGGGGTGACTGCGAGGGGGGGGCGGTGGTTGTGTGCGGGGATCGTTGGAAATGCTCACCGTGGCACTATCCTCCAACATGGCATGCACTTATGGCCTTGTGTGGCTAAACGCTCGTCTTACATATCCCACTGCCAACTATCCTACAACATATGCACATGTGGGAAGCTCCAAAGCTACCACGGGCTGAAAAGGGGAAGGCCTGGCAGCTGAGGAGGGGGGATGAAGAGGAAGAGGCTCGCATTCAACCGTACTCAAAGCTCACTCTGACTCATACGCAATCACTCGCATTAGGGGTCACTCGTCTTCGTCGGCCCTGTCGCCCACGTGGACGCGCTATTGTAGTCGACCGCTCATGAACAGACGCTCCCCACGGCATGACATAAAACATGAGATGCACATATGGGGAGCTCCACGCAGTGAGTATTTTTTTGGCCAGCGGCTCAAAGCAACGGACAGGGAGCGGAAGCGGCGTCCGGGCCGCGGCACGGGGCTAATTGCAAGACAAGTCGCCGCCAGCCAGAGTCGGCGGACAGACAGCTCGCACCTGCACACGCACTGAACAAAATGAACAGAAGTCGAAGGGCAAAGGCACTTAGACGCAGCAGCCCAAACGACAGTGGGCAGGCCGCCGTGCGCGGTGAAGTGAAGACGCCCCGAAATGAGTCGCCAGTGCGGCGCCAGACTTCCGCGGCCGGCCTGCGCAAGCCGACCGGCTGAGCGGCCAGGGCCAAAGAACCGTGCGCGACAGAGAGGAATACCAAAGGCTGCACAGGCGATGTAGGCTGAACCGCTCAGCGCCCAGTCCTCAGTGATCCGCATCACAGTGCCGAGGGGGGGGCCGAGACTGCGCCCCAAGGCGCGACTGCGCGGTGCCGCCTCATGAAGCGGGGAAATCCGCTGGCGAGGGGAGATCCGCCGTCGGATGGCGATGTCGGCACGCGTGGTGGAGGTGTCGCCTGCGCTGCCTGCCCGGGGGGGTCTGATGCCGTGAAGCTGAGGTGGCCGGCCAACCCAGACTGACGCATGGCGCTTCCCCAGAACCCTAGCGCCAACACGCGCCACGTGTCCCACCTGGGCCGTGGAAGCTGTCGCGGGGTACGGAGCAGGACCGCGAGCAGCACGGGCCACGGCGCGAACGGGGGGGGGGGGGCACATCACCGACGCAAGGGCAGCGTCGGGCGAGCCCCGGAGCCACGGGCGGGGGACACCCACCGGGCCTGGGAGGGGAGGGGCGAGGGGACGCAACGCCTCACCCCACGGCCAGGAACCCTGCAGCCGTGGGCCAGGGGCCGTGGTCACATGGATCGTCCTGGGGGTCGCAGCTAATCGCCGCTAGCACTTGCATGGAAGATGGGGGGTCGCAGCTAATCGCCGCCAGGATCTATTTACACATCGTGGGGGTCGCAGCTAATCGCCGCTGAGGTCCCTGTTGAATGCGTGCGAACGGATGACGGCCCACCGGGGCCGCAGTCAACGCGGAGGATGTGGGCCAGCAGCGAGATGCGCCCCCGGAGGTGGGTCCTGGGGAGTCGCAGCTACTCGCCGCTGGAGCCGAAGCTGTCAAAACTGTGGCCTGAAATAACAAGCCGGTAGGCTGGCGCACAGGGGGGGTGCTTCTGCCGACGCCCCCCTGTCACCACAGGGGGGGTGGCTGTCGCCGTTGGACAGCAAAGTGGGCGGTCCTGGGACCGGTCAGTCCAGTGGGCTGGTCCCCTGATGAGCAGGGGGGGTGGCATGTCAAGGATGGGTCCACGTATCCAGTGTGGGCTGTCTAGCTATGCTGTGCCTTTGGGTGAGATGCGGGGTGACCTCCGCCCCAGCGGACGCTGCCCCGAGGCATTACGGCCAAGGCCGGGCGCTGCGAGGTGAAACAGGCCCCGACGGGGGGGGGCAGGTGGTGAGGGGGGCGGGGCACGCTGGTCAGGAGGGCCGGGGGTGCGGTGACAGATTGGCCTGGCCCTGCTAACCCTGGGCTTAAGAGTCCTCCCTAGCCCACCATCGAGCGCGCTTGTCCGTGTCACGGTCGCCCCCCCTGGGGGAGCACCGCTTACCCGTTCCTTTCCAGTCCGTGTCCGTCCATGGGGCTTTCTGCCGGCCCCGGGAGTTCCACTCCTGCCAGTCCTGCCACTGGCCGGGGGTGGCTGAGCCGATGGCGCCTGCCCATCGATCCTGCGTGGCTGCAGCGGTGGCTGTTCTGCCCTCTGCTGTCCTTGGGGCGGGTCTGCCGTTGCTGTCGTGGTCGCGTTGAGCGTGCGCACGGGAGTCGCGGTGCATGAGATTCATGTGCTTGTCCTTGACAGCAGCCCAGTTGACGTTGAGCCCTAGCTCGCTGTCCATGTTGTAGGCGTCGCACC